GTAGACAGACTGCACAGATATAACTTATTATCTGAGACAGACACCTAAGGGAAAGAGCAAAGGATGATTTAAGCATGTCCCGGAATATATACTATGGGTCAACCTAAATCAAGCACAGTTTAACAGGGTCAGTTCAAGAGAGATAACACTAACACAGTAAAGATCCAGGACACAGATGAGAACAGTAGATCTTTGGCAATGATTACACTGAAAATTATGAGAGCATTAGAGAGTTATAATGTATATAAAACACTTTCAAAAGATATCTCCATTTAACCTCACAACTCATTCCTGTAAAGTAGATATTTTTGTCCCCCATTCAGAGGTGAAGAAACAGAAGCTCACAGAGGTTAAGTAACTTGCCTGTGGTGATTTAAAATATAACAATGAATTCTTTGACAACTCCATCCAAAAGATGGAGCCTAATTTCCCTCCCCTTGAGTCTTGGCTGGACCTAGTGACAAATTTCCAAAAATGAGAATATGGTGGGAGTGGTGGTAGAAACTAGGCCCCAGAAAGCACTGCAGCATCTTTGGTCTTTTGGATAACTCGTTTTGGGGAGAAACCAGCTGCCACACTGTGAGGACACTCAGGCATCCTGCCAAGAGCCATGTGAGGGAAGCAATTTGAAAGCCAATCCTCAGCTTTCTTCAGATGACTACAGCCCAGCCAACATCTTGACCACTACCTCTTGAGAAACCCGGAACCAGAACATTCTAGTAAACCACTTTCAATTCCTGACCCACAGAAACTATAGATATGTTTAAGATGGCACATTTGGGGGTAATTTGTTATATAGCAATAAATATGAAAAGGAAATGACCACACTAGGAAGCTTTAGAGACAGAATAAAGACAGTTCTCTGCTGGTGCACTGTCCCTAAGATGTCTGGTAAATCACAGACTCCAGTACCAGATATTCTGATTCCAAACTTATTTCCTCTTTACTAGATTATTCTACTCATTACAAGGATGAGAAAAGAATGCTAAGAATCAAAAGGAGAATCAAAGAAAATGTGGAATTGGAAGCTGAATGAACAGAAATAGTAGTGAATTAGCTATGAAGTGTTAGAGTAAATCCATCACCATAGGTCAATGCAACATTATGTGAGGGATGGAGGAGGGACAGAGAGTGGACTGGAGAAAGTGGGAACAATGGCCATTGATAATAATATGATTGAACGAAATCGAGAAAAGAATAAGCAGGCAAATAGAAACCATCAGGGGGCACTTGGCTCAGTCGTTAAGTGTCTGCCTTTGGCTCAGGTCATGATCCCAGGGTCCTGGGATCGAGCCCCGCATCGGGCTCCCTGCTCTGCGGGAAGCCTGCTTCTCCCTCTCCCACTCCCCCTGCTTGTGTTCCCTCTCTCGCTGTGTCTCTCTCTGTCAAATAAATAAATAAAATCTTTAAAAAGAAAAAAATAGAAACCATCAGGAAAGTCCGATTCAATACTGAAGCTGATCCTGAAACAAGCCACCGACAGATTTTACTAAGGAGGGTGGAGACAGATCTACAGTGATTTGAGAATTTACTAAATACAGAAGATCCTCAACATTTCAAGTCAGCACAAGGGACTCCAAGGATCCATGTCTCTGTTTCTCATTTGATGAGTCACAAACACCTTAAGGCTGGGGTGCTAGAAGTTATTAAGCCAGTGAGAGAGTCCAGTTTCCACATTTCAACAAGTTTTCACTGTTCTCTGCAGATACAATAACTCTCATTAAGGCTGATGAGTTTATTATGTAAATGTTTGTTACATTTTAGTCAGTTTGATGGTGGACATATACAGACCACTCAATTTTCTAAATTCTTCCTCCCCATATGATTCTCCTTACCTTTCTGTTCTAAGGCCCACTGTCCATTTAAAGCTCAGTGACTCCCAGGAAACCTTCACTGACCTCCCCAGACCAGGGCAAAAGTATCCAGTTTTAAATTCCCAACTACACCTTTGACAAATACAAAATGGATGTCAGGAGAAGTACTCTGGAAAGATGATCTGACCAAAGGTGAATTCAAGGTAAATTGTGCTTCTTACCTCCTTCCAGCAGGGGACTGAATCTCTAAGACTGACAGCAAAGCTGTGTTTCCATAAGCCAGAGTTGGAAACTCCAAGACCTGTGGCCCACTATTCTCTTTAAAAACATTACCTGTCAAAGGCAACAAGCTGGGACCTGGAGAAAACTAGATACAGTTGAGCTTGTGAGGGAACCACACTGGGAATTGGAAATAGAACTTATAAATCACAAGTAGTATAACCAAGGGAAACAGAGCAGGAGACCTAGGAACCAGAAGCTCATCTAGTCTTCAAGCAATGGAAAACAGCAAGAAGTAAGAGACAGACTTGGAACCACAGGGAAGATTTTATCTCAGTAATGATCTACTCATTCCAATTGTGCATCTATGTCCCCTCCCCACCATCCTCACTGTCCTACCCAGATTGCAACTCTTTTCTCACCCAGTATCATTAAATCTTTGATTTTGCTTTCTTCCTTTTCAATTCTGATTGAAATCTCATCAAACTCTTTCCCTAAAGCCTCCTAGCATGCTCACTTCCTCCACATTATGGATGTTTCTCACGCACACAAGCCTAGAGCTCTTTGGACAGGATGATCAAGAACTGTTCCAGCACCTTTATAATCTGCTCCTTAATGTGTATCTTTTTTTTTTTTTAAAAGATTTTATTTATTTATTTGAGAGAGAGCACATGAGAGGGGGGAGGGTCAGAGGGATAAGCAGACTCCCTGCTGAGCAGGGAACCCGATGCGGGACTCCATCCAGGGACTCCAGGATCATGACCTGAGCCGAAGGCAGTCGCTTAACCAACTGAGCCACCCAGGCGCCCCCTTAATGTGTATTTTGGACCTCAGCCTCTAACAGCAACATTCCTAGAGTTAGCTCAGAGATTTTGGGGGCCCAGACATTCGTTTCCTGCTAACATTACTACCTAAAGCATTGGCAGAATTTCTGGTCAATAGACCTATTCCACTGCTGCCAAGATTCTTACACCCTAGTCTGGCCCCCTTCTTTTACTAATAGAGGTTATTTGGCTTTTGGAGACTGTCTTAGGGATCAGTTTGCTAAAGTCTTCAACTCCTTAGTCATCCTGATCTTGAATAGAGATAGGGTTCAGGAAGATTCCACTGAGTGTTCTGGGAGAATTCCTAAGGCAGGGAAAATTTAACATTTCCCTGATAAAACTGTCACATACCCTTGTTTTGTCTAAGACGTCATTACAACACCGCAAAATAAAATCTTAGGCTTAGGTAATGCTTTTGTAAAGCTATACAGATTTTCCCTCCAAAATGGCCTTAAATTTTTCAGGCTTTAATACCAACCAACCAAGTAAAAACATATTTACTAAGCATTTAATACAACTCAACAGATAATACAAAGAAAGACAGGACAGATCCCTGCCATCCAGATGCTGGTAAGATTCCAGAAATAATACTTCTGCCTTTGGTGAGGGCAGCCTGGGTACCCCATAAGAAAGAGCCGAATTGAAAAGGAAGAAAGCAAAATCAAAGAAGAGCAATCAAATCCAGCTAAAGGACATCTGTCTTGGAGCAAGTGGCTCAGTACAGCACAGAGGATTTAGAGGAGCTGAAAGAAAGCTAGAGACTTTCCTTCTCTAACCTGAGCTCCTTGCCCACCGCGGCAGATGCTCATTCTCACGTATCTCAAACTCTGCAAGACCCTCAACACCAACCTCACTCTTCTACCATCAGTCTTCAGTTCAGTCATAACCACCTTTCCAATATGTCTCCGTTCTTACAAGGGTGATCTGCTTTGTCACAGGTCATCTATGTGTGCCGCCTCAACACTGAAGTCTTACTCATTTGCTCCCTTTAGGCAGGTTCTCTGCTAGTCCTGTAAGTTAGCAAAGCGCATCGGTGGTTCTCCGCTTCCCACTCCTCCACCAACTGGAAGAACTGGCGGAGTGGAAGCTTCTTGTATTTTCCAGCGCCCTGTTCTCTACCTGGGATTTCAATTTTTTTTTCTTTTTTTTTTTAATTTTATTTATTTATTCATGAGAGACGGGGGGGGGGGGCAGAGGGAGAAGCAGGCCTCCCGCAGAGCAGGGAGCCCGATGCGGGGCTCGATCCCAGGACCCTGGGATCGTGACCTGAGCCGAAGGCAGTCGCTTAACGACTGAGCCACCCAGGCGCCCGGGATTTCAATTTTCTTAAGGAAACTTTTGAAGTGCCTGTAACACTCGTTCTCCGCACCCCTCACGCAGGAGCTCATCTGAACCCTGGAACGAAGGGCGTGCCCCTCTGCACAAGACACAGTAGCCAGCGATGCAAACTGGAGAGGACAGCCCCAAGGAGCTCTCTGCCTAGAACACGGTAAGAAATCCCGTTGCTAAGTGGCTTTTACTGCAGCCCGTACGAAAGTACCAAGTTTCCAAGCGCTGTGCGGCAACGCGGTATTCCCCGGTTCTTAGAACAAGTCTACGGAGCGCCGTCCTTCCCGATCCGTGAGGACGTGACCTCAGAAGAGCTCACCCAGTAACCGGAGAACTGCGGACTCCAGCGGCAAGTCCCGCCGCCTCGGAGCCGAAGCTGCTGAGCACCGGCCGCTCGGCCGGAGCCTCCCGGCGCGCGGCCTGCCGCACACGCGTGGAAGGGTCGCGGCGCCCCCGGCTCCGCGGGGTCGGGACGCACAGAAGCCCAGGAATGACGTCACTCTCGCGGCGCCCCGCGTGCCGCGCGGCAGGAATCCGGGGCGGAGCGGCCCCGAGCGGGCTCCCGGGCTGACAGCGGGGCGCACGGCGCAGCGCCCGGCACGGAGGCCTCAGCGTCCCCTGCGGGCGGGCGGGCGGGCGGCCGTCCGCCGCGCCGCGCAGGTGGGTCCGCGCTGCCGGCGCTCGGCCGGAGGGCACAGGCCGCGGCGGGGGGCCGGGGCGCGAGTCGCCGCGCGCGACCCCTCCTCCCCGGCGGCCCCGCCCCTCGCGTCCCGACGGGCCGCCGCGCCCCCGGCGCGCGGGGATCGCTGGTCCCGCCGGAAGCGGCCGGGCCGGGCCGGGCCTGGGGGGGGGGGGGCTGCGTCCGGGCGGCTCGGGGCCGCGGCCCGGCTCGGCCCGCCTCCCCGGAGTCCGGGTCCCTGCGGCCTGGGGACGCACAGCCAGAGCGCCCGAGCCGGGACCGCCGTGCTGTCTCGTCCTTGGAAGACGTGGACGCTGCGAGTCCCCGTGTCCCGCGCCCTGAGGGACCCCCAAACCGGCTCACTAAGCCCTCCCCTAATCCTTGGGGCCGGGAGACACACCTTCGGGGGCGTGGAGGATGCCGAGGGGCGGCAGGTGAGAGGCGCGCACGCCACGCGCGAGGGGCCGCGCTGCGCGGCCCTGAGCTCGGTGCCGGGAGACCGAGGCAGGGCTCCGAAGCCAGCGCCCAGGCGGCGGGGTCGCGGCGAGCAGTGGCGCGGTTCCGAGGTGCCGCCGGGGGCGAGCTCTGAATCTAGCGCCGTCCCGTCCGCACCCACTCTCAGAGCAACCCTACGGGCAAGGTTTAGTTCGCCGGCTCCTTTCCTGGTCTTGCTACCTGTGCCGCGGTTGTGCGAGTAATTAGCGCTAGGGAAGCTGGGTGAAGGGCCCAGGGACTCGTCTGCACCATTTGGGGAGATTTCTTCAAATTCAAGAGTATTTCAAAACAATACGTTAGGAAGAAAGGTAAGATTTTTACAGAGGGGGAAGTACAGGTTTGGAGGGGTTAAGCCACTACGCATAGGGGAACACGACACGATTCAAGCCTAGGTCTTCGGAATCCACAGCCCACGTCCTTCCCCGCGGCCCGCCATGCTGATGAGGTGGTCCACGTTTCAACAGACAGGCCCTGCTAAGTCTGCTATTCCGTGGAAAACTGAAACCATCTACACCCACGCAGCCTACTGCCTCCCTAGGTTAAGGTGACTTTACTGTTCATTTGTCTACACTAGATATGACGCTATTCCACTATCTTTATCAACATGACACTATTCCAGGAAATTCTTGCCCTAGAAGATAAAGTTGCAAATAATCATATGTTTCAAGAAATTACCCCTCAAAAAATCCACCTGAATGACTATCAGACTCCCAACTTTTTGATCCAGACTTTTTGAAACCTTCAGCTGAAAACCTTCACCTTGTTGTGTTCATCAGTTCTAAACTGTTGTCATGATCCTTCTCCAAACCTCATTCTGCTTTGAAAGATCTGTCTTAAACCCCTGAAACCTCATAAATATCCTGACTTTGCCTTCCTCCTTGGGAGAAGTACTACTAAGTAACTCTGTCAAGGTAGTGCTAGCATTCTTAAGAATAAATTCAGCTTGCCCTTATCAATGGATTGTTTTGGTGTTATTTTTGGAAAGCAGGGGTCCAACAATAGTCTCAATATAATGAAAAATGCTCTTTCTTGACAAACATTCCCTCTACTTAGAAAAAGGTTTGAATTACTTAAACATGTTTTTTTTAATTTGGGTCAAGCCTTCTTGCTCTTCTGAAACAGAAACATTAGACTTAGTAAGTTCAAGCATTTAATCAGCGTGTGTGGGTCTATCTTTTTAACTGTGGTTTCTATAACCTTAGGAGTGTTCCCTGAAAGATAACCCTCGTTATCGTCCTCTCTGACCATTGGAGCTGGAATGGCTGCAGTGTTACTTCCACTGGCTCCTGAAGAGCCAGAGGGCCTCTTCAGAGTAGACAACAAAAAAGGTCCTGCCAAGGTTCAGGGATCTGGCCCACAGGAGAGCAGCCCAAACAGCCAGGAGCTATTCCGCCAGCGCTTCCGACAGTTCTGCTACAAGGAGACTCCTGGACCCCGTGAGGCCTTGAGCCAGCTCTGGGTGTTCTGCTGTGAGTGGTTAAGACCTGAGATACACAGCAAGGAGCAGATGTTGGACTTGCTGGTGCTGGAGCAGTTTCTGACCATCCTGCCCGAGGAGCTGCAGGCCTGGGTGCGGGAGCAGCACCCAGAGAGCGGGGAGGAGGCCGTGGCTGCGCTGGAAGATCTGGAGAAGGAATTGGATGAACCAGACCAGCAGGTAGAAAGGGACCTGTGCTCAGTGCAGGGATGGTTGGGAGTGGGCATGCAGGCTGATCCTTTATGGGCTCTCGGGATCATGTAGACTGTGGGCCCTTCAGATGCCCAAATGAGCCTGCTTTTTCTCAGGTTTCAACCCAGACCTGTGCACAGGAAGTGCTTTCTGAGACATCAGAGCCTCTGGACCCAGCTAAGGAAGCAACATCTCTCCAGCCTCAACCCATGGAGATCCAGCTTACGGGTGAATCTCAGGACCCTCAGCACCAACAGGATTGTGGTTAGTGTTGACACTTGGGTCATATGGCTCCCCTGGAGACCTTAGAATCATTCATCATTGAACACATATATATTGAATACTTACTCTGTGCCAGGCACCATGCAAGGCACTGGGTATAGTGAATAAAGCAGACGTGACCCTTGCTTTCACGGAGCTTACAAAATAAATGTACCATAACAGATTGTAGATGGGGGAAGAAGAAGGTAGTCAGAGAAGGCCCTTTTGAGGAAGTAACATGAGTAGAGTAGAGTAGAAATTAGCCAGGTGAGTTGTAGAAGGGAAAGCAATGTAGGCCTAAGAGCATGTACAAAAACAGGTGGGAAAGAGGTGGGTTTGAAAGAAGGCCAGTGTGACTGGAGCATGAAGAGAGAGGCAGAAGAGCAGAGAGAAGGAGAGGTCAGGGGCCAGAACACAAGCGCTTTGTGGGTGCAGGTAAGGAGTCAGTACGTCTTTAACTTTCAGGCTATATGAGACCTACCTCTGGGTTCTATGGGAATCGGAGGAATTTAAATTCCATTATTTTCATGGGCTTTTTAAATTTTGCCTATAACTAGGATAAATAAATTAATAAAATAAAATTCTCCTGTAACTCAGGAACTAGACTCTATCAACCCTAGGCACCCTAGATTATAGTTGGTCATTCATAGAAACCAGTTTCTCTTTAAAAGTTGAAATCAGTTTTTTTCTTTCATAGCAAGTTTATTAAATTCCTGATGTACTTTATCAGTTATTAAAGGCACCATTCTCTGGGCCAACACCTTTCCTCTGGGTTCACTCTTATTGAAGTTCATTCTTTAATAATTATCTTAGGTTCTTTGGGTGTAGACTTAGTCTTTGCATGTCTGAAAATACGCTTATTTTGCCCTCCCCTCCTTTTTTTTAACATATATATATATATATATATATATATATTTTTTTTTTTTTTTAAGTAGGCTCCACGCCCAACACCGGGCTTGAACTCACGACCCTGAGATCAAGAGTTGGACGCTGCACCAACTGAGCCAGCCAGGCGCCCCTTTCCTCCCTTTTTACTCACACTTGAGCTAGAGTAAAATTCGGACTGACCATTTTCTTCTTCAGCATTTGGAAGGTCTTGCGGGCACTACTACTTCTAGTAGCTAGTCTTCTAGCTTTTGTGGTGTGCTATATTATCAGTGTCTAAATGCCTTTTTTATTTTTTTAGGGATACCATCTTTTCTCATTAATAGCATTTCTATTTACTCTTAGCCTTTATGATGTGAAGTTTCACTAAAACGTGTGTGCTGATAGGGTTTTATTTTTACTCATCTTGCTTGGTCCATAAATGTCCTGTTGCTAAGAACCCATGTTTTTCTTCACTTCTGGAAAATTCTCAGCTATCGGTTCTTTACATAACGGGTTTTTTTATTCTTTATGTATTTTCTTCAGGGACTCCCAGAAGATGCTGGTTAGAACGTATTTATCAATCTATTCACTTCGCTGAACTACTTTTTCATATCCTTTAGGCCTTTGTCTCTGTGGTACATCCCAGCGGAGTCCTGTTACATTCCAATTTATTCCATCTCCAGTTTGTCCATTTCTAAAATTCCTATTCAGTTTTTATATCATCTTTTCTTGTTTCATTTTTACTGATTTTATTTCATAATTCCATGTTTATGTGCCATGGACACTGTCATCACTTACCTCTTTCAGGTATCTTTCATCTTTTCAGGCTTTTTGATGAGAATAATTGCATCTGGATTGAATTCATGTTCCAGGTGGTGATTTTGTTAACCATCTTTCTTAGCATTCTGTTCACGTGTTTTGAAATTTTCATCTCTGGGCTCATTCTGAGTTCTTTCTCATCTGCTGTACATTCTCTCCTTCCTTGCTGAGCCGTTCTGTGGCTCCTTCTCCCCGACCCCACACCCACACCAAGGCTCCCGTGATCACACACACCCCGTCAGTGTCATCACAGGCTTCCAGGTGGCCTGACGGGCTTCTTGGTCGCAGAGCCGTCCACGTGCTCGTGTGTGCGCGCCTGGGAGTCCCACCCAGACTCCCCATTTTCCTGTGGGCCACCGTCTCCGTCCCTCTCTGGAGCCCAGCAGGCCCATGGCTGCAACTGTAGCTACGATTCTGTGCTTTTGTTTCCTTTCTGATCCACAGAGAAGTTTGTCTTGTTCAGCACAGATGTGTTATAGATTAATTTTTACTTTTATCACCCCACGTATTTGGAGCTAGATTATGAAGTTGCTGTGCCATCCTGACTAGAAGTACACCATCTTCCCCAACCTTTTTTTTTTTTTAATATTTTTATTTCTTTAAGTAATCTCTACTCTCAATGTGGGGCTTGAACTCACGACCCCGAGATCAAGAGTCACATACTCAGGGCGCCTGGGTGGCTCAGTTGTTAAACGCCTGCCTTCAGCTCAGGTCATGATCCCAGGGTCTTGGGTTCGAGCCCCACAGCGGGCTCCCTGCTCCACGGGAAGCCTGCTTCTCCCTCTCCCACTCCCCCTGCTTGTTTTCCCTCTCTCGCTGTGTCTCTCTTTGTCAAATAAATAAATAAAATCTTTTTATTTTTAAGTTTTTTTTTTTTTTAATTTATTTGTGAGAGAGAGAATGAGAGACAGAGAGCATGAGAGGGAGGAGGGTCAGAGGGAGAAGCAGACTCCCTGCTGAGCAGGGAGCCCGATGTGGGACTCGATCCCAGGACTCCAGGACCATGACCTGAGCCAAAGGCAGTCACTTAACCAACTGAGCCACCCAGGCGCCCAATAAATAAAATCTTTAAAAAAAAAAAAAAAACAGTCACATACTCTACTGGCTGAGCTAGCCGGGAACCCCTTCCCCAACCTTTTTCAGTCAGTCAGAAATTATGTTTCTACGCTGTGATGTTTTTTAATAATAATCCATTAGTTTTTTCTAATGCTGATACGAATTTTCTGTTCTATGTGCAGCGATGTTTTGGATCCCATCCTACAGTACATTTTATATTTGCTAATGGCTCTAAAAGATTATGTTCTTTTTTTCTTTTTTAAAGATCATATTTAGGGAGAGCACGTGCGAGCACAGGAGCAGGGGGAGGGGCAGGAGGAGAGGGGGAGAGAGAATTCCAAGTGGACTCTGCACTGAGCGGGGCCCCATGCGGGGCTCAGTCTCACGACCCCGAGATCATGACCTGAGCTGAAATCGAGAGTCGGACGCTCAACGGACTGAGCCACCCAGGTGCCCCTAAAAAACTGTTCTTACATAAATGTGTACTTTGTGTGATTTTCCTTTGAATTCTGCACACAAATGTATCTAAGGTAGCTATAACAGTTTTAAAGTGCCCCAAACTTTTAAGACAACCTTATGTAACCAGTAACAGGAGAACTTTCTCAGCAGTGCGGCCAGGTGGTCTGGTGAGGAACTACCACAGGCCCCAGTCCTAAAAGGAGGCCTGCAGAAAGGGAAAGCTCCTCCCACTCTGGGCAGCATTGCTTCTAGGCTCCTCCTGCATACAGTGGGAGCCCTGACACCGAGGGGGGCTGTCACTTTCCTGAGGTGGGGTGCCAGTGAACTTTGTCCCTCCTCCACACTCAGAGAGCTCACACCTGCAGTTTGGCCACGGCTCCTTCGCCCCATCCTCCCAGAGTATCCTTAGCTGACCCGTTTGGGCGCAGTTGGCCCGTGCCTCTGCCTAGGGTTAGGTCTGACGTATACCGCCTCCTGGATCTTCAGCTGTCTCCATACTTGTCTTTCCTCCCATTGCTGCCACCACCCCCCACCCCCCCCATTTAAAAGCATATCGCTTTTCCCTGCATTATTCCTACATGGTTACAAATTCTGCCCTTCACTCTGGGTCCTAAAATGGGATTACTTCAGGGAGAATATGCCTGAGTGGGACAATCTCACTTTTTTTCAGCAACTGTTGACCACTGAGGAAGTGGCCACATGGCCCACCCTGGAGGATGGGGGTGTTGGGACCCTGCTCAGAGGCACCTTTGTAGGAGAGTCAGGCAGGGGAATTATGGGAACATGCTTTCCTGGGGTCAGGACAGACGGGAGTCTGGGTCTGCTAAAGACCGTCCTCTGTGTTCGTGACTGTTTGCCTGAGAAGTCTCAATGGTCCACAGAGTGTAGCTTCAGGCTTGACAGACTCCCAGGTTCTCCTTTGCAAGAAGAGTAGTGATGTCTTTGGGGCCATATCGGTTTCTGTCTGTCCCTACATGATAACAACCTTTTGTGCCCCATGTGTCTAGACTCTGATCTCCTTGTTCTGCATATCTGGAAATAGGTACTTTTCTGCACTCCAGCCCCGCATTTTTCAGTCTCCCAGAGGCCTTCGCCACCTGCCTAGAGCTCCTTCCCAGCTCCACATCAGCACTGGCCCCCATGGCTTCCCTTCTGCTCCTCCCACAGTCCCGTTCCTTCATCCCTCTCTACTCTGGTCTTCGGAACCTGCTTTCATCTCAGATCTTTTCTTCTGTTGTTGACTTGTTCCTCCCTGACTTAATCTCCACTCTGCTCAAATCGTGCCCTGCTAGTCCAGACACTGCTAGTCCTCTCTTCCTTTGCAGTCTCCCACTTTCTTCCTCAAATGTTGTAAAACTATTTTGCTGGCATAGTTAAGCTGTGTGCTTCTAGTATATGGGTTTAATTTTATTTCCTGTATATGTCATTGATATTCGTTTTGTTTCAGATGATGTGATCGGAATTGGGAAAGGGGAACTGATTCAAAAGCAGGAGTTAACTATAGATACGGAGTCTCCAAAAAAGTCATCTGGCCAAATGAATGGAAAGGTCCCTGAATGTGGAGAGACCCAAGAACAGGAAGGATGGACAAAAAGATATCAGAGAAACACTTCAACTGAGAAAAGATACAAGTGTGATGAATGTGGGAGAAGATTCACTCAAAACTCAAGCCTCATTAGACATAAAAGAATCCACACTGGAGAAAGACCCTATTCATGTAATGTGTGCGGCAAAACTTTCATCCAGAGCTCACAACTTATTGACCATCAGAGAATACATAACCGGTTAAAACCCTATCAGTGTGATGAGTGTGGAAAAGCCTTTTATTACAGTTCACACCTTGTTCAGCATCAGAGGATCCACACTGGAGAAAAACCTTTCCAATGCAATGAGTGTGGGAAAGCTTTTCACTACAGCTCAGGCCTTGTTCGACACCAGAGGACCCACACAGGAGAGAAGCCATACCAGTGCAGAGACTGTGGGAAGGCTTTCTGTCTGAGCTCACATCTGATTCAGCATCAGAGAGTCCACACTGGGGAGAAGCCGTACCACTGCAGCGAGTGTGGGAAAAGCTTCAGCCAGAGCTCGGGCCTCTTCCATCACCAGAGAATCCACAGTGGGGAGAAACCCTATGAGTGTGATGAGTGTGGGAAGGCCTTCAGCCACAGCTCAGCCCTGGTGGGACACCAGCGCATCCACAGTGGAGAGAGGCCTTATGAGTGTGACGTATGCGGGAAAGCTTTCAGTTACAGCTCACATCTTCTGGGACACCGAAGAATCCACACTGGAGAGAAGCCCTATGAGTGTGACGTATGTGGGAAAGCTTTCCGGCGGAGCTCACACCTCATTGTACATCAGCGGATCCACACTGGAGAGAAGCCCTGGTGATTGTCGGCGCTCATTCCTGCAGAACGCCAGAAAAGCACAGCTGGCAGGGGACGCCCCCATGACAGCGACATGGGGAATTCTGTGATCACCACTGCAGTTTGCGCAGTCATTTGAGAATACTTCCGGAGCTGAGACAGGTGATCCCGACAGCTTACCAAACAAGCGCGTCCTTCCACATTCCCAGACTTCGTCTCTGAAGCCAGGGCTCAGGAAACCTCAGTGATCCGTGAGATATGTACTTGGGGGTTGTAGAGACAGCTGCTGTCCCTTCCCTCCTTCTCCCCACTGTTTTCTTTGGAGTTAGGATAATGGTCTTGTCTGAAGTGTGAATTTAGAGTTAACACCTCATCTACATAAAAAAAAAAAAATCCTGCATTTTAGGTTAACTTGATAAGAGACATCAGCCTATCAATTATCTACATGAAAACTTTGTGAATACAAAAACCACTCTGTAATCTGGGATGAACGATTTGTGCAGATAGGAAAGTCAGCAGGAGGATCATGCACATTCCAGTGACCCTTCACATCTTCCACCAGAGATGGCAAACGGGCCAGTGGGCTGTATTTGGCCTACACATGTATTTTTCCCAAATGCTATTTTCTTCAATAATATATAAAATTTTTCAAATTTTTAAAGCTATTTTTTTAAGGTTTATTTATTTGGAGAGGGAGAGTTCCAAGCAGACTGCACTGAGCACGGAGCCCAACGCAGGGCTCGATCTCATGACCCTGAGATCATGACCTGAGCCAAAATCAAGAATCAGACGCCCAACTGACTGCACTACCCAGGTGCCCCAGTGAGTAGATTTTTTTAAAACATTTTGTTTATTTCTTTAGAGAGAGCATGAGCAGGAGGAGGGGCAGAGGGAGAGAGAGAATCCTCAAGCAGATTCCCTGCTGAGCTCAGAGCCTGAAACAGGGCTCGATATCACCACCCTGAGATCATGACCTGAGCCAAAATCAAGAATCAGATGCCCGACTGACTGTGCTACCCAGGTGCCCCAATTTTTTAAAAATCTGTCGATTTCACATAAAATATGACTTTCTGGATTCTCTTAAAAAATGCATGCTGTGGCAACACTAGATGGCATATTCCCACAAGGCAAGAGTTGAACAGATTATCACTGCTGTGTGTTTAGACGCAGTCCACTGCCACACAGCTTCCTGGGGTCTCCCTGTGCTCCCTGCTCCTCCACCTGGGGGAGCCCGTCCTGCCCTAAGGGCTTCTCAGGGGCTTGTGGGTTCCAGGCCAGCTTGCCACCAAGAGCTCCGTCCCCCAATAAGATTTTCTCTGAAGAAAAGGGCTTTCTGCTAACAACAGCTTGAAGATTTAGATTAAAAAATAAGTTTAAAAGTGTGTGCTTGTGCACCTGAAGGTAGAGGAAAGCCCCTTTAAAATCTTCCTTAGATAGAACGTATAGGTAATTATTGAAAGTCACCTGCAGCCGCTCCAGGTGAAACCCGTGGAGACTAGTCCTTTGGGTGAGATGAGAGCACAACACACGTGATGGGGCTCGACCCTCACGTCAGAGTTAGAAGGCCTGGGGCTGAAAGCGGAGGTGCAGCTCAGAAAGAGAAGCTTGGAGATCTGAAGCATTCAGTGACAGGAGCAGCTGTGGGAAGGCTGTGGGATGAGGCCCAAACGGGAGACTGGGGAGAGGTGAGAAGAAAAAGCTATGAATATGGGAAGGTCTGGGATAAACGGAGGGAAGGAGAAAGGCCAGAGACGCCAGGAAAACACTGCAGACAGGAAGCCAAAGCAAAGGTAGTGAAAACATGAGGTGAGAAAGCATGATTTAAAGAAATGTCAGTGGAGGGACGCCTGGTGGCTCAGACAGTTAAGTTCAAGGCATGATCCGGGTCCTGGGATTGGGCTCCACGTCGGGCTCTCTGCTGAGCAGGGAGTCTGCTTCTCTCTCTCTCCCTCTATGCTCTGTCTCTTGCTCTCTTGCTTTCTCTCAAGCTAATAAAGCAAATAAAATATTTTTTTAAAAATGAAAGAAATGTGGAGGTTGAGAGGCTGGAGGTGGGAGCACTGAGTATGAATCCACCCTTCATTTCCATGCCATGTAGGACAAATGCCTAATATGAAAGGCCCTCACCCAAATCTGAGTTCGCTGCTGTTTGTTTGTATCACTCAGGACCCTGGCCCTGCATGGGTCTCTGAGTGTTGGGACACAGGACACTTCTCCTTAGGTATAGAAAAAGACTGTTCAGGGCGCCTGGGTGGCTCAGTTGGTTGGGCGACTGCCTTCGGCTCAGGTCATGATCCTGGAGTCCAGGGATCGAGTCCCGCATCAGGCTCCCTGCTCGGCAGGGAGTCTGCTTCTCCCTCTGACCCTGCTCTCTCTCTCTCAAATAAATAAATAAAATCTTTAAAAAAAAAAAAAAGAAGAAAAAGAAAAAGACTGTTCAACCCTGCTCAGCCTGGACTCTGCCTTCTTAACAAAACCAGCCAAGCAGGAGGATTCTCCCCCAGGAGCAAGAATACATTTCTGGTGGGGCCCCTGGGTGGCACAGTGGGTCAAGCATCTGACTCTTGATTTTGGCTCAGGTCATGATCTCAGGGTCATGAAATTGAGCCAAGCCCCGAGTCAGTTAGGTGCTGGGTGTGGAGCCTGCTTAATATTCTCTCTCTCCCTCTGCCCCCACCCCACCACCCTGGCTGGTGCATGCGCCTGCGCTCTCCCCATTCTCTAAATAAATAAATAAATAAATAAATATTTTTTTTTAAAGAATTCATGCTTGGCCTCTCTGGGAAGCATGTAATTTACCCATTCCTCCTAAAGAGGAAAAAGTGTGTTGTGAGATAGAAATACCCATTATAAATTAATTAAGTGATGTAGCAAAAGGAAAAGTCCTTTGCAAACTCTGACATCATGGCTGCCATTTGTTGAACATCAGTTGTGTCCAGCATCGAGCCTGATGTATCTGATGTCAACGTTCCAACTCTTCTGTAAGGTACTATTTATTATCGCAAACAATGTGTAGATGTAATTTATTCTTATGAAAGGCTTATAATAAGATGAAAAGTTTTTAATACATTTAAATGTTAAACAGCCTATAAAAGTATTTTTAGAATATAATAACTAAAACAGACAAAATATTAAAAGTTGGAAGTAATAAAATGTCAACAGTGTATTTAGGTAATGAAAAGGGAGTGAGTCTCACCTTTTCTATTTCTCTGTATATTCCAAATGGGAAAGTTAGAATTCATCATACACATGTAGTAAACACTTTTTAAAAATTAAAATACTACAGAATTGAGCTTTTCTGGAGATGATTCTTTGATAGCCTTTTCAATTACTTCCTCAGGACTGGTTTAGAGTTTTCTACCTTTTTTAAAAAATATTTTATTTTTAAGTAATCTCTACACCCAACATGGGGCTCGAACTCACAACCCCGAGATCAAGAACTGGACTCTCCACCAACTGAGCCAGCCAGGTGCCCCATAGATTTTGCTACTTCTTGAATGAATTTTGGAACTAAGGGTTCTTCCCCAGAAAATCACCAATTTTGTTGAGATTTTCTAAAATTTTGGTAGCATACTTACTTCTTCATCCACTATGTGTCATTTACAATTCTTAAATATTTTCTTTCAGTTGGATTTACTGTAGGTTTGTGGGATTTTTTGTTTTGTTTTTTGTTTTTTTAGTTTAGATACCATTAGTTTATTATAAAAGAGAGACATGAAAATTATTTACATGATGAGAGATTTCACTTCACTGGAATGAGCAGCTTCACTTCATACCATTTTAATAATGATTCCAGTCCACATACTTTCCAATGTGACCATCTCTAAATAAGAATCCTTGTCATCTAGAACTACTTTGGTGCCTCCATATTCTGGGAAAAGAACTTCATCTCCAACTTTCACGATAACTGGTTGAATCTCTCCACCCTTTCCTTTAGAGCCCCATCCAACAGCTACTACTGTTGCTTGCAACACTTTTCCTTGAGATTTTTCTGGAGCCATAATACCTCCTTTGGTTAGTTTCAGCTGCACTCCTTTCAACTAAAACTCCATCGAAGAGGGGAAGAAACTTTTAAAAAATGCTTGCCTTGCCATGACTCCAGCTGCCCCCGTTCTTACAGGTTTGTGGTTTTTAATAGGCTTGTTTAAAAATGTTTCACTCTTGGATCTATTAATGTCACTTTTTCTTTGTTCTAATTCATTTAGTTCTGGTTTATCCTTATTTCTTTTCTAACCTTTCCCTTGGGGATTTCCTTCTCATCCTTTTTCTAATTTCTTGAATGCTTAGTTCATTCATTTTCTCTTTTTAAATTTTATTTTTTAAGATTTTACTTATTTATTAGAGAAAGCACAAGCAGGAGGAGAGGCAGAGGGAGCTAGAAAGGGAGAAGCAGACCCCTGCTGAGCAGGGAGCCTGACGTGGGGATCCCAGGACTCGGATCATGACCTGGGCCAAAGGCATTTAACTGACTAAGCCACCCAGGCGCCCCTCATTTTGTGTTTTTAAATAATGAAAGCAAGTGAGAATATACATCCATTGAATGAATGCTGTTATTTTTAAATAGTCCACTAGTGTTTTTGTGGGTGGTTTTTTGTTTTTAGTAGCTTTGGGAGATCTAAATAGAGAAGAAGAGGGCCCTGGGTGTCATACACTGGACTGCCTGCTTATGCCTCAGTCATGAAGGCAGAGAGGCTCTATCCAGGTAGAGGAAGGACGTAACCAAGCCAAGGACCAGGGTTTTACCAGGAAGCCTCATTCTGACTGATGTTCAACCACTCATTTCCACAGCCAGGTGCTCCAAGGCTCTGGCAAGCTGATTGTGTGAAGTTGATGGCAGCCTGAAGCTGGGGGCATACCTGAAGAATATTCTGGACTCCTTAAGAAGTTCAGGACCTGGAGCAGGGTTTGTGTTTGGAACCTGGTGAGAAAATTTGACACAAAAATTAGATGAGGAGGGAGAATCACGCTGGTGAGTGCACTGCACTGAAGGAGGCGGCAGGGCACAGTTGAGCATTGTCTGCAGTTTTAATTTGCTCAGCAGGCTATGGGGACGTTTTATGCCACAGTCAAGGGAAGGGGCTGGCTTTCCATTATGTACTTCTGATGGAGAGAAGAGCAGAGGTTATGCTGTTTTTAAATTTCTCTCCCAGAGAGGACAGTTCTCTAAAGCTGGCTTACTTGGAAGTTACTCATTTCTCCGTTTCCTAAATGACCTTTCCAGGTTTATTTTTTAATTTTTAAAAAAAAATTTTTTTTATTATGGTATGTTAATCCCCATACATTACATCATTAGTTTTAGATGTAGTGTTCCATGATTCATTGTTTGTGCATTACACCCAGTGCTCCATGCAGAACGTGCCCTCCTCAATACCCACCACCAGGCTAACCCATCCTCCCACCCCCCTCCCTCTAGAACCCTCAGTTTGTTTCTCAGAGTCCATCGTCTCTCATGGTTCGTCTACCCCTCCGATTTCCCCCCCTTCATTTTTCCCTTCCTGCTATCTTTTTTTTTTTTTTTAACATATCATGTATTATTTGTTTCAGAGGTACAGGTCTGTGATTCAACAGTCTTACACAATTCACAGTGCTCACCATAGCACATAGCCTCTCCAGTGTCTATCACCCAGCCACCCCATCCCTCCCACCCCCCACCACTCCAGCAACCCTCAGTTTGTTTCCTGAGATTAAGAATTCCTCATATCAGGGCGCCTGGGTGGCTCAGATGGTTAAGCGTCTGCCTTCGGCTCAGGTCATGATCCCAGGGTCCTGGGATCGAGTCCCGCATCGGGCTCCCTGCTCCTTGGGAGCCTGCTTCTCCCTCTGCCTCTCTCTCTCTCTCTGTCTCTCATGAATAAATAAATAAAAATCTTTAAAAAAAAAAGAATTCCTCATATTAGTGAGGTCATATGATACATGTCTTTCTCTTATTGACTTATTTTGCTTAGCATAATACCCTCTAGTTCCATCCATGTCGTTGCAAATGGCAAGATTTCATTCCTTTTGATGGCTGCATAATATTCCATTGTATACAGAGCCTGGGTGGCTCAGTCGTTAAGCGTCTGCCTTCAGCTCGGGTCATGATCCCAGGGTCCTGGGATCGAGCCCCGCATCGGGCTCCCTGCTCGGTGGGAAGCCTGCTTCTCCCTCTCCCCCTGCTTGTGTTCCCTCTCTCACTGTGTCTCTGTCAAAGAAATAAATAAATCTTTAAAAAAAAAACACACAGGGGCGCCTGGGTGGCTCAGTTGGTTAAGCGACTGCCTTCGGCTCAGGTCATGATCCTGGAGTCCCAGGATCGAGTCCCGCATCGGGCTCCCTGCTCAGCAGAGAGTCTGCTTCTCCCTCTGACCCTCCTCCCTCTCATGTTCTCTGTCTCTCGTTGTCTCTCTCACAAATAAATAAAATCTTAAGAAAAAAAAATTAAAAAAAAAAAAAGAACACACACACACTTAAGATAATTATTCTACACAAACAATCATATACTGTTTTGTAACTTACTTTTTTTATTCAATATGCCTTTGGCATCTTTTAATTTTTAGCTTTTAAAAAAGTTGGGGATATAAAAAATCTAAATTCCCAAATGTGGACATTTGGGTTTCCCCAATTTAAATAAACAATGTTTCTTTGTATATGTTTGAACATTTGTGTATTTTTTTAAAGATTTATTTATTTATTTTAGAGCTCAAGAGCTGGGGGAGGGGCAGAGGGAGAGAGATCTCAAGCAGACTCCCTGATGAGTGCAGAGCCCCAAGTGGGACTCAATCTCACGACCATGAGATCATGACATGAGCGAAAATCAAGAGTTGGTGGCTCAAATGACTGAGCCACCCAGTCGCCCTTTGTGTAAGTATTTCTATATAAGTAATTCCAAGAAGCTAAGCTGTTGTATCAAGAGGTACGGACTTTTAAGGTCTTGCCTTCTGAAAATATACAACCCAAGAGTGCCAGTATTTTCACACACTTTCCAATACTAAATATGACCAATCTTTTTATCTTTAGTAATCTGAACAATTTAAAACATTTTTGTTATTGTTTTAATTTAAATTCTTTATTCGTGAACTTGAGCACCTTTTCATGTTGTCTGTTTGTGTTCTATAAATGCTTACCTAAGTTTGTCAGTTTTGCCATTGGCTTGGTGGTATTTTTCTTAATTTTTTGTAAGAGGTCTTTGTGTATTAGGAATATCAGTCCTGTGTCTTTTAGATGGGTGACATATTTTACGCTGAGCTTATAAGTTAGTTTTTATTTTTTTCATTTAAAATTCCAAATTTTTACATCACCAGTTCCATCTGTCTTTTCCTTTATGGGTTTTCAGTTATATGTCTTTAGGGTTTTATGTCATGCTTAGAACTCTCCCCACTCCGAAGTAGCAATAGCTTCCCAGCCTATCTCCCTGCTCTGTCCTTGTCCAATCCCCTTCATTTACAACTTTATTTTTAACACAGCAGCCAGAAAACTCTTTTCGATACCTGTATCTGAACATGTTACTCTGCTGCTCAGAAATTCTGAATGACTTCCCATCTTGGAGTAAAAAAACAAATGTATCTTTGAACTCACCCGAGACCCTCCTATCTTTCCCTCTCTCTACTCCCAACACCCTTTTGTTGCCTTAGCTCCAGACACACAAGCCTCCTTCCTGTGCCTAGAATATTTCAAACACACTCCACTCCATGCTGTGCATGTGCTATCCCTCTCCCTGAAACAGCTTTACCCTTGATGATGCACTCGCTCGTCTCCCTCAGTCTTTGCTCAAATGTCAGTGTGCTAGTGAGGTCCTCCATGACCACCCTATTTAAAATTGCATTACTTCATTCTCACCCCAAACTTTGCATTTCCTTCATTTTATCCTTGGCACTAACATCCACCATCTAATATACTATATATTTTTCTTGTTTATTGCCTGCCTCCCTACCTTATACGCAGAAGCACACATACTAAATTACAAATTCCATGAAGTCAAGAGTATTATTTTCCTTTAAACTATAGTTCCAGCTTCCAGAACAGTGCCTGGCATAGCAGGTGAATAATCAATATTTGTGTAAGAAAGAGAAAGAGGGAGAAAAAAAAACTAAGCATTTCTGACCCATCAGATTGGCAAACATCAAAATATCTTATGCTATTGTGTTGACAGGTATAGGTAAACAGGAACATCTCTAGTAGGTTCTATGGTTGGTAATTTGGCTCTAACAAAAGTACAAATGTCCCTACTCTGTACTCTAGTAATTCTATTTCTAGGAATATATACTATGTAAATACCCTTACACATGAGAGACACATGTTTACAGTAATTTGTTGCAGCAGCGTTTCAAAAAGAAGATTGGAAACAACCTGCCTGTCAACGGGGTAATTATTAATGAAGGATGGCACATACAATGAATACTATGCAATTGTTTAAAAAAAAAGGCAAGATCGAGGAAACCCTTTGTGCACAATCTCCAATATCAGTTGCTAGGAGGAAGCAAGCAAGGCGCAGAAATGCTACCATTTGTGCAGGACGACAGCGAGGGTGACATGTACCCGCCTGACGTGTGTACGGAACAGTGCGTGTGCCCGAAAACCACAGGCTGCCAAAATCAGATGCTGAGGACGCTTACTCTTTTCAAATATTGAGCTGTGTGAATGCTTTACTCTTTCGTACTACGCTTCTAATAAGTAAACCTAAAAAATTCGGAGAGGGGAAAAGCTTCAGAAAAAGAACAAAGAGGGCGTGCCCGCGGGCCCGCGCACAGCCTGCTCGTCCACGCGGTCCTCCGCGGGCGGGGCCACCGAGGCGAGGCTTCCTAGAGCGGCCGGAAGTGCCGGCGGCCCGCGGCGGGCGCCCATTGGTCGGCCGGAGCCCAGCCTTTGTTCCGGCCGCCGGGAGGGGGCCGCCGCGGCGCGTGAGTGCGCCCTGCGTCCGTCGCCTCCGCAGGGGAGGACGAGGGCCGAGCCTCCGGGGCGGACGGGGAGAAGGCGAGGCGGCGCCTGCCCCGCAGCCGCCCAAGTGCGGGCTGCGCCTCTCGGGCGTGCCGTCGGCGAGCCTCCGCGCAGCGCCGTGGACACCTGGCGGTTCTCGAGGGCTGACGAGGGCCGGCCGCTCGTCAGCCCCGCGGGAACGGAGTCTGACAGACGGGAGCTGCCGCGCGGGCCGGCCGAGGGCGCTTGCGTCCGTGAGCGCGCAGATGTGAGTCGGCGCCCTGCTCGCCCTGGCTCCCTCTTTAGCTGTGTCTATGCTCACGGCGGCTTTTGTCATCTCCGCGGTAACGACGTCCCCGAAGCACGGTTCCGAGAGGTTCTCCTTGAATCCGCCCCGGGGAGGACTGACCTCCCAGCCCACAATGGCCGCGGCCCCGGAACCCGAAGGACAGAAAGCACTTGCGGTACTCAAGGCAGAAGAGCAGCGCTGGGGACGGGACGCCGTCTCACCCAGCCACGCCCCTCACAGGAGGGAGGTCTTCCGGCAGCACTTCCGGCAGCTCTGCTACCAGGACGCGCCTGGGCCCCGCGAAGCCCTTACCCGGCTCCGGGAGCTCTGCCGCCAGTGGCTGAGGCCAGAATGCCACACCAAGGAGCAGATTCTAGACCTGCTGGTGCTGGAGCAGTTCCTGAGCATTCTTCCCAGGGACCTGCAGGCCTGGGTGCAGGCGCAGCACCCGAAGACGGGCGAGGAGGCGGTGACTGCGCTGGAGGATCTGGAGCGGGAGCTGGATGAACCGCGGAAGCAGGTGGGAAGGGGACACTCGTTTGGCCGGGCGAGATCAGGGCGTATGGACCGAGCCAAAGCAAAACAAAAAGCATGTGAAAGAACACCTGGGGGCGTCTACTGGGTTATCGTAGCGAAGAACTAGGCTTAGGGAGGGACCCGACTGCCAGAGTCAAAGAACTGGTACAGACCCAGGGAACTGATGCCGTTTGTAAGGGTGGATCCGGGAGAAGTTACGGGAAGGCAAGTAGGTAACAGAGGTAAACAAAGAATCCTCCAACATTCATACCTTTCTATTAAAAAATGGGCTTCCTGGTTAAAAAAAGAAAAAAAAAACCCTCCCTTTCCATGGAAATAGTCAAGGTGGGTTCAGATAGATGTCGAGGATATTACAGAACAGCACTGTCGAAAAGGACTGTAATGTGAGCCACATGTGTAGTTAAAATTTTCTAGTAGCCACATTTTAAAAAATAACAAGTGAAATCAAATATTGTTAACCCCAAATAATCATGTAATCAATATGAAAAATGAGGTACTTTGCATTCCTTTTTTGTACTGTTCTTAAAATTCAGTGTATATTTTACACTTTGTGTATCTCCATTCCTACGAACCACATTTCAAGCGCCCAGTGAGCACACTGTGCTTGTAGCTATCATACTGGACAATGCAGTTAGAGAAGAAATGCCCCCATTTGGTGAAGGTTGGGCTAGATAATTTTTGAGGTTCTTTCCAAGTCAGAATACTGATCCTGGATCTCTGCGATCATTGAGACGAGACTGAATTTCACTCTCCAGTGGCCTGAAGTATAGAGATTAGTTTCTGACTCTTCTTTTTTTAGTCATTATTTCCATTTGCAATTGAATGAGACTTTTTCCCATTTGTGTTCCTGGTCCCTGGCAAATCCTTCTTTTGATCTTTTCTCTGAAGTTCTTTAAGTTCTTTCACAAAATCTACAAGGCCAATCATACCTCATTGTTCCCAGGTCCCAGCCAATTCAGAAAGACAGGACAGAGTTTTGGAAAACTTGACCCCCTTGGGAAGACCCCATGAGTCACTGACTGCACAGCTCCATCCCAAGAAGATTCAGCAGGAGCAGGAATCTGGGGAGCCCCAAAGGAATGGTAAGGAGCAAGAATTTATGTGTGTGAGGGAAGATAATGGTTTCTTGTGTTAGGAGCTTTCTCACTTTGATGTTCTCCTTTTCAAGTTTTCTTGCTTATCCTCCACCTCACTGTGGAAGATTTTATCCCCCTTCCGACCTTTGCCTCATCATGGAAAGAATTGTATTTTAGTTTTTCATTAGACTTAAAAGCTGCTTTTTGGCCCAATGGATGGGGGATGGGATTTAAATACTCATTCAAGTTAATAATACCTTACATTTCTATTTGTTGTTACCTGATGATTCTAGTTCTAAATTCTCTTAAATTTACATTTTTAACAGGAGAATTCATATGACAGCCTGTATTAGTCTATTAGGGCTGCCAGAACGGAATACCACAAGCTGGGTGACTTACACAACAGAAATTTATCTTCTCACAGTTGTGGAGGCTGGAAAGTCCAAGATCAAAGTGTTAGCAGGCTTGGTTTCTGGTGAGGCTTCTCTCCTTGACTCACAGACTTGCTGTATCTTCACATGGCCTTTTTGCTGTGCACACACACTTTTGCGATCTCTTCCTCTTAGGTAAGGATGCCAGTCCTATTGGATAAGGGCCCCACCCTTATAACCTCATTTATTCTTAATTACTTCTTAAAGGCCCCTTTTCCAAATGCAGTCACATTGGAGGTTAGAGCTACAACACATAAATGGGGGGGAGGGGGGCAGGGCACAATTCAGTCCCTAATACATCCTCACACTGAAAGAAGTAGGAAAGAGAGAGCAAGAACTAGTCAGTATAGTAGGCTTTTTGTTTCTCCCATGTTAGGTTGACTGGGTTTTGGTTGTCGTTTGCTTCCCCACCCCAGTAATCAGTTCACTAATTGAAAACCAGATGTCTAGTGTATCCCCAGGCTTCAATAAAAAGTAAACAAACTTTAAATTCCAGTTTGCCCAAACACTCCTTTTTTCAGTGCTCCCTGTCCTTTCTCTAGAGGCTCTTGTGTCCATACTGCCTCCCCTGGGCAGTTTTTATACTCTAGCCTATTATGGATTCCATTCTCACTACTTTAAATTTTACCAGTATGGTTCTCTCATTCTCTAGGTTCCCTGCCAGGTGATATGTCTAATCTGAAAAATGATTTTAAGTTAAGATATTTGTATTTCATACCTGGAAAGATGGCATTCAATTATGTATAATTTAAAGGAGTCTTTTCATGCTTTTAAAGCATAGTGTTGGTTATTGGTTAGATTTAGAGGTGAGGTTGAGACCCCCTGTTCTGTTCATTCTTCTTTTATTAAACATTTGTTGAGCAGCAGCTACATGCTAGGCACCATGCTAGATGTCAGGAATACAAAGGAAAGACTTCTCTTCAAAAAACAGAAGTGGGCAGTAATGCTATAACCTACAAAAAAAAAAGGACAGCTATCTCTGTGGCAGGCCCACAGAAGTGTCACAGAGTAGGTTTGATTGAGCTGAGATGGTCAGATGGGTGGGAACTGGGAAGGGAGAACAATTCAGGCAGAGAGAACGGAGGGGGGGCGGGGGGCATGAAAGCTTAACATTCTAAGAACAGCAGTTGCTCTGAGTTGATTTTGATGAAGAGAATTTTGTGGAAGGGAAAAATCAAAGGTCAGTGGTGAAGGTTCCTGAATACCACGCTGAGGAAACAGATGGAGGTCTGTTACATTATTTGTTTGTTTGTTTGTTTGTTTTATTTATTTATTTATGTTTAAGTAGGCTCCACACCCCAACACCAATACAGGGCTTGAACTCACAACACTGAGATCAAGACTTGAGCTGAGATCAAGAGCCAGATGCTTAACCAACTGAGCCATCCAGGTGCCCCCGTTATATTATTTTAATAGAGGAGTGGATGACAGATTTGTGTTTTTTAAAAATCACTATCCATGATTCTACTTTTTTAAAGTTACAGAGAAAAATATTAAAGAAGGATATCTCCAAATGTAGACAAAGATTATTTGAAGGCAATGAAGTCACAGATGACTTATTCTACTCTCTTTTCCAAAGTCTATAAGTGAATGAGCACACCACTATAAATAGGGAGAAAAGATAAAACACAAGGGGGGTGAGGGGAGACCACTTTCAAATATAGAAGATTTTAGACCAGTGCCCAAATAAGGCTGGAGAGAGAGGAAGGAGAAAATTCAAGAGATACTTATTATTCATTTATTAATGAACAGGTCTGATTAGACATTGGTGGTTGGGGGTGTTTTAATAAAATCCAAGTTGGTGACTTGGGTGATTTGCAGATAATGGTGTAAGTAATTGAGAGGAAAATCAGAAGGTGGGAGTATCTTATGTGTGGAAATTTAGAATGGATTCAATTCTTATACATGTGAATTTGCTGTACCTCTGAAACATCCATCCAGTAGGCAGTACAGTTTAAAATATGGTTCTAGATATAGGAGAAAGATGTGGGAGGAGATAAGAGATTTGCGAATCGTCCCTGCATAGATGATAGAAGCCATGGCTGTAGACGAAGTTGACCAAGAAGAATGTATAAAGTGAGGAGAAGAGAGGCACATGCAAATTTTTGAGGCATGCCACCACTTGAAGTTTGGGTGGAGGAAGAGGATTCTACAAAGAAGACACATCAGGGAGTATCAGAGGAGTAAGAAGCAGAAGAGGGTAGTGTCACTAAAGATACCAGGAGCTTCAGCCAGCTATAGCCAATGCTACTAATGGGACACAGGCTAAGAACTGGTAAGTGTCCACTTACTGAATTTGGCATTTAGAAGTTAGTGGTAGTCAAGAATAGTTTCAGAAGGCAGAAGCTAAAAGATGTAGGCTACTTTAATAAGCTTTAGTAAGCTTAACTATGTGGGGTCTTCACCTTTTCTCTGTGAGCAGGCATATTATAAGAAATTTCTCTCCCTGCCTTTGGGAGGAGACAGGACAAGCAGTGAGTCATAAAATAGGTCACAGTAATATTTTAACATGTCAACATGCTAAATTCTATGTAGAACACAGAATTATTATGACTAATGGATAGTCTGTGCAAAACTCTTAAGTTCTAAATGGTCTTCCTTGTTTTTTTTAATAGATATTTCTGGACTAGTTCACTCTACTTCATGTTATAAATTCAGAAAAATACACAGTTCCTATACCTAAAATTGTAGAGGGTTACACATGTGCTGCTATTAAAATAACTTTTCAAGGAAAAGTATGAATTGTCTTTTCTTAATCTAATACACTGAAAGGTGCTTCATGAAATCTAGCTATCCTATGAGGCCTGAGAATTTTTAGGGAATCCCTTTTGTCTGCATTGAACAGCATGAATAGGACTTTTTTCCTAAGGTACAGCACCAAGAGCCATACACAGTTTTTATCTGTGTCACCACCACCGCCACCACCACACTCCCCACCAAAACAACTGACAAGCAAAAAACAAAACCCACCAAAACAATACAAAAACAAAATAAAACTCTGCAGAAATCACAACACATTTCAAGACGTGTCTTTCAACTTTATTAAAAGCATGTAATGTCCGGTCCAAATCCTCATTTTACAGTTGAGGAAATATGCCCACAGTGGTTGTGACTTGTCTAAGTTTCCAAAGAATAAGAGGCAGAGCTGAGATTACAGTCAGAACCTGGGGCTCCTGCCCGCTGGTCCAGAACAACTGTTAAAAGCCATCAGGATAATGTACCAAAAAGTCACTATCTCTCAAAATGTAAATTTATTGTTAAATAGACTTTTTATGCACTATTTCTTATTTTAAGAAATTCATTGTGGGGCGCCTGGGTGGCTCAGTTCATTGAGTGTCTGCCTTCAGCCCAGGTCATTATCCCAGGGCCCTGGGATCGAGCCCCTTCCAGGCTCGCTCTGTCAAATAAATAAATAAAATCTTTTAAAAAAAATTATAGTATCTATACCAGCAAGGTATTATTATTTGTATTAGCTGTTGGCTAGCATAATAGGACTCCTCTCTGTAAACATAACTGGGAATTACAATAGCATTAATCACTTAATACAGAATTATCTTCGTAGATGACAGAACTTGGATTGCAATTCTTTGTAGCACATTTTAAAGTACTTCAAAGTGAACTTTTTGGACATGCTATTAACCCACAACACTGACTCTCCATTGGCAGATAAATGACAGTCTCTTTAACTCCCAGTTTCACTGCACTCGGCATTTAACCTTGTCCTTGCTCCCCTAGACTGTCAGCAAGTTGTACACATGGTAATCAGATGATCTTTACTTGTCGTCATCTCAGTGACCAGCAGGGTTGGACTTATCTCGAATTGTAACTGATAAGGACTCTTGGTATTACATATGCCAAAATAACATTGGAAGGTCAGCCCTGGCAGAAGGTGTTAGATCCAAATATTTTTCATTTTGTCTGTTCTAAAAGAAGGTCTCTTGGTGTTCCTGGGTAGTTCAGTCAATTAAGCGTCTGACTCTTGATTTCGGTTCAAGTCATGAATTCAGGGTCATAAGATCAAGCCCTGCGTCAGGCTCCATGCTTAGTGGGGAGAGATACATAAACAAGGCCCTGAAACTGGAGTTTTATCTGTGTCACCACCACCGCCACTATTGAGATGAGAAAAGTTCACATACGATAATTTTCATACAATATTATCCTGTACCCTGTTCAGTTGCAGATCAAAGGGAGAGGGTTATCATTTCAATTGCTGACCAAGAAAAACCAACTTTGTATTTAAAAAAAAAGCCTTTTGAAGTTCTGGTGAGATTTTTCTCTAGATTTCTCCTGAAGCTGTGGGAGAGAGACTCATCCTGAGGACTGGTAGATTACACTGAAGATGGTGGACTGACCACTTAGTTTTGTCTTTTTTTAATTCATCTTCATCAGTAAGCCACAGGAAAGCCAGCCAGTGGTGACAGCTGTATGTAAAAGAAGTGGCTGAGCCAATATGCTGATGTTTGAGAACACTTTTCTTAATGGTATGGGGGTGTCTCTGATTTCCATGATTTGCTTGATCATTATTACCCTACTAACTTAGCAATACTTCTGTCACACATTATACTTTTACAAATGCTTTATCATACATTCCCTCATCTAATCAAACTATAGGTAAAGAGGAGGGCACAGAGGTGATAAAGAAACCAAAATAGTGGTGCTCTGCCAAAATTTAAGCAGTTCTCAGACAGTTCCAAGACTGGAATCTAGACCGCCCGGGCTCTAATTTAGTCCTTGTCATTTCTAGCCAAAGATAATACAGCAATTAGGTTCCAAAACAATATCGTCTTAGAGGAAATATTCCAACTTTGAGAAAGTCTACTGCCTGATTTAAAAAAATAATAAATAAAATAATAATAATAATAATAAATTTTTTTAAATTAAAAAAAATCGTTAAGGAGGAACTGATTTGAGGAAGAATGGTAGCAAGGGGACATGGTGATGACAGTGAAGAGTGGACTTCACGGCATGGCACTCAGCCATGTGAGCCAGTGTTTTCCACCCCCAGCCCAGGCACTGAAATGTCCGGGTAGCTCTTGCTGCTGCTGCTGTCATGCCAGGTGACCACTGAAAACCGTAATTACATGACTGTTGCACAGTGAGGATTCCTAGGTTTGTTGAGATGGTGGTCACAGCAAGACCAACTAGGTGACTTTCTATTCCCTCCAAATCATCAAAACCGCTATTTTCTTATAAAATTCATCTCAACAAATATTGAGTACTTGCCATTATGTGCTATTCTGTACTAAGCTTGGGGTTGAGGACATGGGGAGCAGGAAGAAGGAGAGAACACATCCAATTTGGGAAATTAGGGAAGACTTCCTGGAGGAGAGAGCATTTGAGATGGACCTTGAATAATAGCTAATAATAGTGTGGTTCCTGGACCAGTAGTATCTATCAGATCAGGAAACTTGTTAGAAATGCAAAAAAAAATTTTTTTAAGATTTTATTTATTTATTTGACAGAGAGAGACACAGCGAGAGAGGGAACACAAGCAGGGGGAGTGGGAGAGGGAGAAGCAGGTTTCCCGCTGAGCGGGGAGCCCAATGTGGGGCCCGATCCCAGGACCCTGGAATCATGACCCGAGCTGAAGGCAGACGCTTAACGACTGAGCCACCCAGGCGCCCCAGAAATGCAAAATCTTAAGCTCTATTCCAACTTTATCAAATAGAAGTTCTGGGGTCAGGAAGCCTGACATTCTGTTTTAATAAGTCATCCAAGGTGATTCTGATGTACAATCAAGTTTGAGAACCACCATGCTAGGATTTGGACAGGAAGAGATGATAGTTTCAGAAAAAAGGATTCAACCCAGCACATACACCAGACCATTGTCACTTCCTACTAATCTTCCTGGATTGATCCTGACCTACATGTTCTCAGTCTGCTTTTAATTAATTATTATCCTTCACACATTCCCCTCCTTTGATGGTTCCTAATCACTACATTCCTCTCATATCCCTAACCCCACTGTCTTCTCCACTTTTACTCAGTTTTACTCCCACTTAACTACCTGTGTTTCAGGCCCCTGCATGTTTCTCCCAAACTTTTACCTCCCTCCCCATTTCTGTTCTTCGATCCCCGTCTGTCCCTCTTAATGATCCTCAGCATATCTCTAGTCCTCATTTACCACTCACCACTCTGCCTTTGCACAGGATTGCCAGGCAACTCCCTGATCCACATCAGTGCCTTTTCCCCTCTTCTTAATCTGTTCCCAAATAATTTTTCTGCTGCTGTCTTCCCTACTGGCCTCTTAATCTCTTCCTTATGTTGTCAATATACGTTTTGACAATGCCAAATAATCTAGTTTGTACATTGTATGTGACTTTGTTTTTTATAACACATTTATAACATTTACGTGTTCGTTCTTTCATAGGCTTGGCTTCTCAAACCTAGACTAGGACATGTTTGTGTACTCTTTGTTACAGGTGATAAAACCAGAACTAAGAATGAAGCATTGTCCCAGAAGGAAGATTTGCCCAAGGACACAGAATTCCTTGGGAAGATAAATGACAGACTTAACAAAGACATTCCTCAACATCCTGAATCCAAAGATGCTATTGAAAGTGAGGGCAGATTAGAGTGGCAGCAGAGGGAAAGAAGACGCTATGCATGTGATGACTGTGGGAAAAGTTTCAGTCACAGCTCAGACCTTAGTAAGCACAGAAGGACTCACACTGGAGAGAAACCATACAAATGCGATGAATGTGGAAAAGCCTTCATTCAACGTTCCCATCTCATTGGACACCACAGAGTGCACACTGGAGTGAAACCCTATAAATGTGAAGAATGTGGGAAAGATTTTAGTGGGCGCACAGGTCTTATTCAGCATCAGAGAATCCACACAGGTGAAAAACCCTATGAATGTGATGAGTGTGGGAGGCCCTTCCGTGTAAGTTCAGCCCTGATCAGACATCAAAGAATTCATACAGCAAATAAGCTTTACTAAGATGGTGAAATAACAGAGGTTTTTAGCTACTCAGCTCTCCTTCATTATCAGAGAATCTGCCTTAGGGACTGTGAGTATCCTGAATATAGGCAAAGCTTCAGTCATCATTGAACATTTCTCTGGCACCAGAGAATCTACCTGAGAAAATTTCCTTTTATTTCTAAATTAGTTCAGTTTCTTAGGAAGCATTAAGGTTATTTCAGAAAGCCTTGTCTGTTAACAGATTGCTCCCTTGCAGCCCAAAATAACCATGTTTCTTGGTTGAAAGATAGTGAATTCTACTTTTCAGCTTTCCTTTTTACTTGACTATTCTGTGTATGACATTAGGCAAAACAGTCACATTTTTCTCTGCCTTCATTTCCCCCTTCTGTAGAGGACACAGTAGAGACCCACCAGGTATGTTGTATTAAGTTAGAGCTGCTTTTGAAATTAATAACTAAAACAATACTAAGTATTTATTTTCCATCACTACTGATATAATGGCCATTATAATGTATAATCATTTTGTGGAATTTGTTTGCCAATGCTAAAAAAGAGGAAACTACCAAAAAAGAAGCAGGGTAAGGAAAACATTCAAGTGGGAAGGAAAGCAGTAAGTGATGAGTAGGAGCTACTGCGAAGAGGGATGACCTTAATGAGGATAAATCACTCCTCTTCTGAGTCTCAGGGTCCTGGAAACTGAGAGACGTGGGGAGGGATTGGTCCAGAACTGCACTGTCCAATGAAGTAGCCAGTGCCCACATATGGCTGTATAAATTTAAAATTAATACACTCAAAGTAGAGAATTCTGTTCCTTAACCACATGCGGCTAGCAGCTACTGAACTGGACAGCACAGACACAGATCATTTTTATCATGGTGGACAGGATGCTGCTGTCCTAATCAATCACCAGTAACATGTCTTCCAGCTTATATTCTGTGTGATTCTGAGTTCGGGAAGGTAGTAAAAGAGACACGTGAGGAGACTGTAGTAGCAACAGGAGATAAAATACAAACACTCTAAGAAAGGAATTTAGTAATAACTTTATGGCACTTTTCAGCCTTAAAAAAGGAGTATATTATAATTGGAAGACTGAAGATTATTAAAGTAAATACAATAACATCATAATCTAAATTAAAAGCTTAAATTACTGGGCGCCTGGGTGGCTCAGTTGGTTAAGCGACTGCCTTTGGCTCAGGTCATGATCCTGGAGTCCTGGGATCAAGTCCCGCATCAGGCTCCCTGCTCGGCGGGGGGTCTGCTTCTCCCTCTGACCCTCCCCCCTCTCATGTGCTCTCTCTCTCTCTCTCATTCTCTGTCAAATAATAAATAAAATCTTTATTAAAAAAATAATAAATAAAGTTTCATTGGGCGCCTGGGTGGCTCAGTTGGTTAAGCGACTGCCTTTGGCTCAGGTCATGATCCTGGAGTCCTAGGATCGAGTCCCGCATCGGGCTCCCTGCTCAGCAGGGAGCCTGCTTCTCCCTCTGACCCTATCCCCTCTCCTGCTGTTTCTCTCTCTCTCTCTCTCAAATAAATAAGTAAATAAAATCTTAAAAAAAAAAAAAAGCTTAAATTACTACCTCATCTCTAAAACAAGAGTGTAACTACCTTTACAAAGTAGCATTCCATCAGATACATATGCTGATAAGAAACTGGGACTCTCAGGAGTTTTAAGATAATAAACAGTCCAATTTTTTTGTTTGGCTTGGAAATGCATTAGCAGTCCATGTGCTTGCAACAGTTTTACATCCCTAGTTTGAGAATACTATAACATGACAGATATTGTGACCAGAGGCCCAGCACATTCAAATGTACACCACCATCAAACCACCATGAATCACTGTTCTAGGAATAGCCATCCCCAGGACAAGCAGGAAGGGATCTAATCTCTTCCTGAAGACAGGAATTACACACACTTCTGTATTGTGACCGAGTAGTTAAACCACCACAGTGCTTTCTGTGTCGTTACTACTGTTGGAAGATGAATCTTGTATCACTCCTTGTAACACCATAAACTGAACTTTTATGTCTTTTGAACGTAATACTGCTTTTTAAAAGAAAATAAGTTTATTTTGATTGTCTACATCAACTGTAGAAAATTTTAAAACATCAAGTCTCACACTCCTACTTGTTTTTATGACATAATTATCTGAGCAATATTTCAAAGCATTTGAAACAAAGGATTTTTTAATGGTCATGAAGAGAAAAGTGAAGTATTAAAAATCTTTAGTATTAGAAACATCCTTGTTTTAAAAATAAAGCTAGATGCTGAGTGATAGCTTTTCCCCCTTTACCTTTTTTGTCTTGCTGAGAAACAAGCGTAGAAGCTGCTGGCAGTCTCTGTAAAAGAAAAGCTCATACTTCTGATATGATCCCTTCTTGAATTTAGAGAGGCTTCTGCAATGGTAAGAAAGACGATTTTGGCTACCACAAGATTAGGTTTCCTAAAATTGGTAAAAACATGACAGACTGATTTTCCTTTATCATCTTCTATATGCTATAACATTCTACTCAGATAGTTTTGAATACCTGTTAAGTACAAAGAATCATTCTAGTCTTCGAGTTGTATACCTTCAAAGGCTAGTCTGCAGCACTGAGACAGACCATGCTACCCTTTTTTAGGTTTGGTGTTGATTCTAAATTGCCACCACAGTGTCCACCATCTGATAACAGAGGGAGGGACAGAAATACATGCGGCCAGAGACAGCCTGGAGTGCTGCAGGCAAGAGAAACCTGGGATAAGTGCAGGCATAAGGCAAAGGAGGCATGAGGTTAAAGATCTGAGTTGTTGCTGGTACCAGGAAGAAGCAGGTGTTGTCCGGTAAGTGTGTAGAAACCCAAGGAAAGAACTGGGGAGGGTGCCCGTGCACAGCCACAATTATTGGAAAAGAAGACGTAATACGTTAGACGCCGTAACCATAGCTACAACCGCTTGGTTCTAGCAGAGAGCCATCCTCAGCACAGCACCTGCTCTAAAAGAACCCCGTTTCTCAAACAGTTGTGTCAGAAGCATATGCATTTCTCCTCCATCTTTTTGGAGAGACGATTTTTTTTTCTTTTTTGAAGGAGGCAAGAAGTTGTAGTTTTGAGTTTTTGTGAACTAACAAGACAGCTGTGATTGTAAGAGGCACCTAAACGGAGTAGAGGGGGCAGCTCTCAGACATTGATGGGGGATGGTGGTGAACTGGTGATTCTGAATGAGGAACCAACAGCTTTGAAGAGAGGAAACAGATTAGGCGCTGGGAGAGGAGGGGCTACAGGAGGTATGTATGGGCACTGGTGAGGGGCGGGGAATAAGATCAGGGGAAAGGGAGGAAGGGAGAAAATAAAAAGGAACAAGGGTACCAAGAAAAGAACAAAGATAAAACAAGAGATGGTGATAGGGAAAGAGAAGAGAGTGACGAGTAATCTAATACTGGCATCAATCATGTTTGAGCCTGGGTCCTAGGATGGATGTAAGTCATACAAAGAACAGATGAGCTCCTTATCCCAAGGTACACTGAATCTTAGGAGCACAGCACGTATTATCTATCTTTATCCAACAGGTCTCCATTCTCATCCTGAGCATGACATTATTTGTTTATAATCAAAAAGTCCATCAACAGTGAAAACCAACTAGAAACCTTGACATACTTCAACAAACAAGCTCTTCTCCCCTAACTGATCCCACAAGGGAGTCATATTGAGGTTCTGAAGGGACAGCTCGCTCAGTCTTTCTTCCTCAAATCCTCGACAGCAAGGTTTCTCCATCTTGGTTCTGCTGACATTTTCAGCCAGACAGTTCCTTGTAGTGCCCTGCCCCCTGCAGTGTAGGGCGTTTAGGGGTATTCCCAGCTTCCAGCCACTGGATGCTACCACACCTCCTACTTGTGACAAGCAAGCATTTTTAAGATGGGGGAGCAAATGCCCCCTCGAAGGGCAAAATCACCCTCAGTTGAGAACTGATCTATAGGAAAATAATCTAATTTCCATGACTGTTCCTCATCACATACAATAAGATTCTACGGAGATGGTGCATACAACCAGCAGTGCTAGACCCTCTTTCTACCCCCAAAAAATGATTCCCAGAGTACCTAAGCTCTAAAGAGCAATCATACTGAAAAATTAGTCGGCTTTAGGAAGCCATACCTCACTGCTGAAGACCAGAGGAATCTGCCCTCAAACGGGACTTGCATAAAGAGCTTACATTGCATTTTTTAAACTTTCCTCTTCCTTCCCTGGCATACTTGTGGTGCTACCTACTCCTCTAACCCCTGACCCAACCATGGACAGAGATTTTTTGACTGAGATTTGCCCTGTCCAGTACAGTAGCCATCAGGTACATGTGGCTATGCAACTAAGAAACTACATTTTTTAATTTAATTTTAATTAAATTTTAAAACATAATTCAGTTATTGGAAAACCTTTATGTTTGGTGTAATTTGGGTATGTGAATCTACTTTTAACATTTTAAATTTTGTATAATCTCAATAAAGTATTTTCAATGAAAATTTAATATCTGAATTGAGATATGCAGTAAGTAGAAACATCAGCTTTCAGAGATTTAGTATAAAAAAAGAATGTAAGATACTTCATTAATTTTTCTATTGATTAGATGTTAATATTTTGGATATACTGGTTTAAATAAAATACGTTATTAATATTAGTTTCACCTGTCTTTTACTTTTTTAATGTGGCTATTAGAAAACATTACATAGGTAGATCACATTATATGCCTATTTATTGGACTGCCTGATGAAGATCTCACTTCAGGGTACATCCCATTCTTTATGTTTCAAACCACTTTTTTTTCCTTTTTTTTCTTTTGTCAGAGAGAGCGCATGCACACGCAGTGGGGGCAGCAGGCAGAGGGAGAAGCAGGCTCCCCGCTGAGCAAGGAGCCCGATGGGGGAACGGATCATGACCTGAGCCCAAGGCAGACGCTTAACTGAGTCACCCAGGCGTCCCTCAAACCACTTTAATTCTGTGAGACTAAGTTCTGTGATGCCAAGGACTTTTTACCTATTTCTTCTTACTGATTTGTTCAACAAGTATTTATTAAACACATGCTATGTGCTATAGGAGACAAGAGCAGGCTGCCCCAAAATGTACCACTATGGCATACTGATTATTTTAAATAAAAGTTACTTAAAAGACAGCTGGTGCAAGAAGGATACTGAGACCACCTGTGTCCCCCTAAAAGCAGGAAATAAATCTCCCGTGTGAAAGGTACCCTCCCTGTACCAGGAGGTAAGGAGACATCTTTATCACCAGAGATAGGAAATTTAGAGCCCAGAAGGCTGTATAAACACCCCGTGTTACTGTTTACTAGTTTACCACCCCAGCCCAAATTCTGTTTAGAATTCCTTACTAACTGAACCTCCCAAAGTTAAGTTTTCTTTGTCCTGTCAGATCCTCACAGATCTACTGTGTCCTGTCTGAAAAGTATAAAAACCACCTGCTTTGGTCATTTCTTTAGGTCTTAAGTTCATTATTGGGCTTCCGTCTGGTCTTTTCTCCTGTTAATCTGTCTCCAGTAAATTTGATTCTTAGTCCAACTGTAAGACCACAAAGGGTACAGTAATAATTTTTCCTCCCCTTCAGTTCCAAGCCCCTGTTCTAGGTCCTGAGGACACAGCAGGGAACAAGGTAAGATCTCTGCCCTTATAAGCCTATGTTACAGTAAAGGGAGACATCCCCTCACACCAGTTAGAATGGCTATTATCAAAAAGACAAGAAATAACAAGTGTTGATGAAGATGTGGAGAAAAGGGAGCCCTCATACACTGTTGGTGGGAAAGTAAAATGGTGCAGCCACTGTGGAAAACAGTATGACATTCCTCAAAAAACTAAAAAGAGAAGTACATGATCCTGCAATTCCACTTCTGGGTATTTACCCAAAGGAAAAAAAAAACACTGACAAGGATGTATGTGGCCCCATGTTCACTGCAGCATTATTTAGGACAGCCAGGATATGGAAACAACCTAAGTGTCCAGGGATGGATGTGTCCAGGGATGGGTGCATGGATAAGGAAATTGTGGTATATACATCGGAATATTACTCAGCTTTTTTTTTTCTTTTTAATGAAATCTTGCCATTTGTGAGAACATGGATGGAACTTGAGGGCATTGTGCTAAGCAAAGTCAGAGAAAGACAAATACTGTATGATCGCTCTTGGGGCGCCCGGCTGGCTCAGTCAAAGGAGCCTGCAAATCTTCACCTCGGGGTGAAGAGCTCCAGCCCCACGTTGGCTATAGAGGTTACTTAAAAAAAACAACAACTACTACATGGTCTCTCTTATATGTGGACTCTACAAAAAAGAAAACGCTACGTAGATGTAGAAAACAGAAGGGGGGCCGGCATGGGTTGAGTCAAAAACAAAAAAGCCAACCGCACAAGTGGTCATACAGACACATGTTCAGGAGATCTCATGAATCAGTATTCGACAGGAACAGCCAGCCATTAAAGTATGTTCCTCTTTAGTTCCAACTAGTAAAACGCAAGACATCTGGGCGGGAAACCAGGGCCAGGCTGACTCTTTTCGGGGAGCAAAATACCGATTCCTAGGCCCTGGAGGTGGCGCCTGGAAACGCATTAAAAAAAAAAGATCTCTGGGCGCCTGGGTGGCTCAGTCGGTTGAGCGACTGCCTTCGGCTCAGGTCAGGATCCTGGAGTCCCGGGATCGAGTCCCACATCGGGCTCCCTGCTCGGCAGGGAGTCTGCTTCTCCCTCTGACCCTCCTCCCTCTCATGCTGTCTCTCATTCTCTCTGTCTCAAATAAATAAATAAAATCTTAAAAAAAAAAAAAGATCTCTGGGCGCCTGGGTGGCTCAGTCGGTTAGGCGACTGCCTTCGGCTCAGGTCAGGATCCTGGAGTCCCGGGATCGAGTCCCACATCGGGCTCCCTGCTCGCGGGGGGGGTCTGCTTCTCCCTCTGACCCTGCCCCCCTCATGCTCTCATTCTCTGTCTCTCAAATAAATAAATAAAATCTTAAAAAAAAAAAAAAAAAAAAAAGATCTCTGGGCGCCTGGGTGGCTCAGTCGGTTAGGCGACTGCCTTCGGCTCAGGTCAGGATCCTGGAGTCCCGGTATCGAGTTCCGG